TTCTTTTCTTTTCTTTTCTTTTCTTTTCTTTTCTTTTCTTTTCTTTTCTTTTCTTTTCTTTTCTTTTCTTTTCTTTTCTTTTCTTTTCTTTTCTTTTCTTTTCTTTTCTTTTCTTTTCTTTTCTTTTCTTTTCTTTTCTTTTCTTTTCTTTTCTTTTCTTTTCTTTTCTTTTCTTCCTCGAGAACTGCGTAACGCGGGAGGCAATTGAGGCTGTTTACGTAGTATGTTAAAATCGTGTGGCTTGCGCGTTACGTACAATTTATGCGTTGCTATATATTTGAGTTAGATAAATCGAATGTCTTAACCAGTTTTTGGTACTGAACTCGACTTTTTTTTCTCTTTAAGTGATTTATCCAATACTCCTTTGGATCATATCGATGAAGACGCTTTTAGTGGTGTTCAGCTCACAATACTGTAAGTAGAAACGCATGCTTTACAGTTGTTGGCTCCCTTCTAGTACTCTACTGATTAGTCATTGACGACTTTCATAATGACCGACACTAATTAGCATAGCATCGTTAAATTATTCATAATATTGGCAAAAGAAAAAATGAGATGATAGATTTCAAAGCTAAAGATTTCAAAGCTAAAGTTTAACAAAAATATATTAAATCCTCTTAAAGTTATAAAGGTTAGTAAAGGGACAAAAACGAGGCTACCCGAGGGCCTCAGCAAAGAATTCCATTCAATTTCTTGTATTTTTAACTTATTAGTTTTTAGTCCATATATATAGTTCAAAACTTTCCAAAAGTACGTTTTTTTCCGATGGTTCTTCCACATGACAGTGCTGAGTGTTTCCGTAAATTGGTAGGTCCTTATGAACAGTGATCTATGGTGCATTGATAAGTAAAAACAGTTCTTTTTTTCAGGAAACTAGAAGGAACCCTCGTTAAGCGTCTGCCAGGAAAGGGGATGGAATTTTTGTACAAGCTATACATAGCCAACACCAAACACCTTTGGAGCCTTCCCTTCAAGTCATTTAAAMATCTAGAGTATGCCAAAGTAGAGTATCCTTTCCACTGCTGTCTGCTTAATCAATCACTAAACGATAATGATAATCCCAGTTTTCGTAACTTCACCGCTGTGAAAAAATGTCCAACACCTGGCTACAAAACAACAACCACGGCTCTACCCACTCCTACAACACAAAGAACAACTACAACACARCGAATTACCGATATATTCGATAGACATAAAAACAACTACAAGGTCAAATACAAAAACATCTCGGTTACTTTTGCTCCTAACATATGTGTTGACGCAAGAGAACCGGTCTTTGATAAAGCGCAACGGCCACCGGCACCGTTTAAATGTCTGCCGCAAKCYGATGCTTTTAATCCCTGCGAGGATCTTCTTGGAACGGTCGGGCTTCGTGTTTGCACTTGGATTGTCTTAGTGTTTGCCATTATAGGTAATGGGCTGCAGTTAATAGTGCTATTGACAAGTAAACGAAATAACACGATGTATCAAGTATTGCTGTGTAATTTATCCGTCGCTAACTTATTCATGGGGATTTACCTTTCTATGCTGGCTGCAATTGACGCACAGAGCTACGGGCAGTACCAGAATCACGCCTTGGCATGGCAATACGGCACTGGATGCAATATTGCAGGATTTCTCTCCATATTATCAACAGAATTAGCGGCATATACGTTGACTGTGATTACAGTGGARCGATATTTCACCATTGTACACCCACTGAAACAACACATGCATTTATCAACCAAGCAAGTAATTGGGATGATACTAGTAGGTTGGTTTATAGCCTTGACATTAGCTGCATTACCGCTCATTGGCGTCAGTAGCTACCAGAAAGTTGGCATCTGCCTACCATTTGAAGTAGGCAACGAGAAATCCAAAGCATATGTGACGTTTTTGCTAGTAACCAATGGTCTGGCATTCATTATCGTGTTATTTTGCTACGCGAGGATGTTTTTGAGTCTTGGTGGAAGCACCTGCTCCAGTGCTACAAGAATTGAAAGTCGTGTAGCCAGAAAGATGGCGATGCTAGTATTGTCAAACTTTGCATGTTGGTTTCCAGTTGCTTTGTTTAGCTTTATTGCAATTTACGGGTCTCCAGTCATTGATGTTCCAACTTCAAAATTTCTTCTAGTTTTTATTTATCCCATCAACGCATTCACGAACCCGTACTTATATGCTTTGGGTACAAAACACTTCCAGCTAGACCTTCTCGACTTGCTGAGGAATTTCAGGTTCTGTGAAAATACGATTGATAAATTACGTGGTCGAATCCTTCAGCAACTTGCCTCGTTACCACACACTACCAATTCTCGAGCGTTCATGGGTAGTCGGACTAGCGTAAACTCGTCAATGTATCGTCCTTCTCCAGCGCACTCAAACATTACTAGCCCTAATTTAGGATCTCCTTCTAACAACACTAAGGGCTCGTTTTCCCTTCGTTTTCTGTCCATTCCAAAAATTAACCTCAGATCGCATAGCGATGATGATTACGATATGAAGAGTGCTCTAGGGTGTTCAAATTCCTCCATCAATAACGATTCACCATCGGAACAGTATATTCCTTATCGCAGTCATGATCAACCGTTATTAAAAGACGTCAAAAATGGCGACGACCATGATGATTCYCACTTGGACATATTCCGTCGTGTGTCGGCGAGAGAAGTTATAATCGGCGGTAAAGTCATCAACAAGAATAAGTTAACAAATTCTGGGCGTCATGTCGATGATCTGAGAGAAAGTGAGAATTTAATCAATCAAAACGAGTTGTTATTGAACAAGGATCTTGGAGATTCTTCAAAAACGCTGCCTGTCGTCATGGTAACAACATGTTGAGGTGTTACCATGGTCACATGTCATCTTAGATACGCAACGGCTGAATATAGCTTTATAGGCTTACTTGCATCCGAAAGCCTTTGCGATCGTTTGTTGTGATTCAACTGGTTTGTCTTTGACACTTGCTTTCTGATTGGTTCGAGATCAAAGATGGAGGATTTTCAGTATGTGAGAAAATCGCGCAAAGGCTGTTGGATACATATGGGCCTTTAAAGATGTTTACGACAATCGAATGAATTATTTAATATATTAATTAAATCAAATTTTATAAACACTTAGATAACAAACTGATATATAAATCTATCGGTTGTATTTTAAAATTAGTCAGTTACACCATAATTCGTGAAAAACGACGAATGTTGGTGTGTTTACTGTAAAATTGCATCAAATTATTGATAACAACAAKTGTCAGTGTGAATTTTTACGAGTTACACTACAAATAAGGACCCGTTTTCTTTGCATCCATAAGGTAGAAGAGATAAACAAGGAAAAAGCTCAAAGCTATAAAAAGCTCTTCTTATGATTGATATGTAAATTTATAATGAATGGTTTCAATTCCTTTCATAAAATTTACAGAATAAATGGATCTAACGCTACATGTAATATTAATTATGTTTTTTTCTGTGACGTGCATTTTCATACCCAGACCCATCAATTTGCMAACGTAAAATCGAAGGTTGGAGACGAATRAGTCTTTGAATTGATTGGCTCAAAACTTCCCATGCACCATAAGCATTCTGGGTCTTCCGTATAAGCGGAAGACCAAACGGAAGAGATGAGTCTGGGTACGAGAATGATGTGTGACTTATAGCACGACGGAGCCAACTAACATGCGACCGCTGTCCCAATGGTCGCAGAAGGTACTGAAAGAAAGTACTGAAAGTAGAGGGGGTTGCTATTTTTGTCTTGGTTCTCCACACTCCCCTCGGCGCACTCCCCCCAGATTAATTACTCAGGCTTATGTTTTGCAAATCAGACATCACTCATTCTACATTATATATCATATATTCTGACAGTAATTATAATTTATTTTTCTTTACCGGCTGTTGACATTTTTCACCGATAAGTTGTCATGGACCGACAATTTCCTCAATTTCTRCGAACCGATTCGAGCTAGAGCTTGCTCAAGTACAGGCGGCAGCTTGTTTGGCTACATGATAGCTCAAAAAGCATGAAGTACGTAGTTTTACGCAATTCTATTTCAATATTGACATGCATCTTATCTCTTTAGACCTCCCGACTCGGATCTGTTTGACTGTTTGATTAGCGAAAATTAAAACTTTACTCATTTGTGGCTTCAGCTTTTAAGATCTTATTGTTCAGCTTATTGCAGTTATTGATCATGACATTGAGATGAAGAGGAAGAAAAACTGACTATATATATATATCACAAATATAAGACAACTCATATATATTAAAATGTAAGTTATAGTATTTTTCAACTAGAAGCTCGAAAAATAGCAGATGTCATTTAAAAAAGAAAAGAAAGAAAGAATCGTGATCAAGCTGCTCGTCAAAGTTTACCWGAGGATTTCCTTTCCCTGTATTGATAACATTTGATTTGTATCAAAGGTTTCGCAATCGGATTCAATTTCTTTGTTCCCGGTACCGCAACACCTTCCTAGAACCACTAGAAATGTGCTTTTTCAATTTGGAACAAAATCGCCTAGAAAAATGTTTTGTTATGTTATGTCCAACTTATGTACCGAACTCAAACGACACCAATCTCTAGTTGTGTCTCTAAGATGACGTCATCAACTTGCGTTCATTAACATCATTATTAAAAAGGAGACTTTCTGAACTTTAGGTGAGCTCTGATTGGCCGACACAGTAGCGGTTTCCTTGTGCGGAGTTTTAAGGGGCACGTGTCGTACTATCTGATCCGATTGAAGATGTCAATTTTTCCCCAGTCTATATTAAGCTCGTATATATGTAGTTCTATATACATCTAATGATCTGTAGAGAAACTGAGCACAACCTGAAAACATGTTTCGTTTATTTTATTTCACTACTTATAAACATGTTTAAAAACGCTAATGGGGCTGGTTGAGGTTCTCAAACTTGGCATCTTTTCCTATCCTAAAAGAGAATGTGAAGTATTTTATTCTTGTGTAAATCGCAAAGAAACGCTAATGGTGTTTGGGCAAGATTTCTCCATTGTTCACCTATTGCCCAACAGGAAAAAGTCAACAAATATTAAATGATTCACTGTTTGAGTGTTTAGTTTCTAAGGGGTCATGTGTGACTTTGACAGGATGTTCTTGCGTCACGTAGCGCTCAGTTACTTATCATTGACTCTGTAGAAAGTGTATCAAATTCAACAGGCCATTAACAGGCGTGCAATGGCGCTTATTCTGAGGCTGCTGTTGCTGCTGTCGCTGACATGTTTCTGCCAAGCAATGCTTCAAGCTTGTTCAGTTTGTACTTGTGTAAGTGGAGCTGGCGTAGTGAGATGCCGAAACCTCGTCAAGTTCCCTGAAGTGAGCTCTTTCCCAATGAACACTACTGATATGTAAGTACAACATGTGACATGAGGCTGTTTGGAATTCCCTTGTAATGTGTCAYAGCCTTTGTSCAAGACTGTAGCTACTACGAGTATACGAGTWTGAACTAAAACGTTTAGCTGTAATTGTTTTACTATTTCGGGTATTATCAAAGAACAACAATAGTTTTTATCGCGGTTTTCGAGGGCGGATTATTGCCTTCATTCATTAAGCTTTAGTTATAACACAACTTGATCTCGGCCACGGCATGTAACTGAGATATAAATCTAAAATACAAAAAACAAAAATATTAATAATAATGAATAAATTAAACCGAAAAAGAATAAAAAACCGATATCGATAAAGATAGATATATAATAGGAAAAAAAATTGGAGTCTAAGAAAGAGGATATTGTAGATATATTCCAATTTCCCTATGTGGGTATGTGGTATGTGGTATTCAACAAAGGAATTTCGTTCGGGCGATCATTCATAGCGCGTAGATTAGGAAGTAACTTTATATTAAGTTCTCAGTAAGTCAACAAGGRCCTTCCGGATAAAAATGGACTGAACTTTGTCCACTTTGAAGTTAAAAATCAATCAATGTTTGGTAATATGCAAAGATGTCGCGACAAATGATTTTTATTAGAACAAACACCCACCGAGAAATACTTAAGTCTTTGGAATTGACATTGCAGGAAAATATTTGAATGAAATAAATGAAGGCGGAACTGAAATTAACTAATGGGAAGAAATGAAATGAAATAAATGAAGAAAGGAAAAGAAGGTGAATCATATGTTGTACAAGATTAATTAGGAAAACAAATGAAAAATGAATGGATGAATGAATGAATGAAAAGATGAGCGAGGGAGGCATTCATTGAAGTATAAAACATTATTGACGAAGACAAATAAAAGCTCAGATCAGAACAGGTCAGAACGGACATCAACCGTCTCTCTCAKGCCAGTGTTCCTGGCAAATTTAAACTTTTCATTGGCTATGAGCAGTGTGCGAAGTAAGCCAGAAAACAGCTGTAGATCAGAGAGACAGGGCATGACTAAGACCAACGTAATAACCTACAATTGTAGCCCCACACGAGGGATGAATGAAAAATCCTCTTGGCGATACTAGATATATTGTTTATTACCTATTTTGTTTTCTTTATATAACAATGATTCCTTGTCTATTAAAGTCCGGCAGCCGCCTCAGTGTTTCTTTAAAAAACGTTCTCACGTTGAACACTGAATACCATGATTCGCTAGATTAACGTCTTTCACTGTAAAGGATTGATAACGAAGCCTTATAATCCAAGAATATCCCACTAATGTACACTACAACTACTTTATCCACATAAACCATCCTTAGGGGAATCACTTTCTGCCAAATACTCCTTTTTTTCCTGGCTCCATGATGTCAATTTGGRCGGGAATAGTATTGTCATGTAGAACACAAGTTGCGGAAACAAGAGAMGAAACACCCGAAGCAATGAGCAAACACTACTGCAACTTGACAGCTATCTTTAATTCCTATTTGCTTTGAGTTTAAAGTGTTTTTTCACAGTCACGGAAAATGGGTTTTACGACCGGATGGTTTTATCTGTCCTTATCGTTATATTGTTGTGTTTTGTAGCCGATTTGGGCCGCCAGTCAAAAACGTGAGCTGAGTGTAACATTATAGGGACTCATAGCAGGCTTAGAAAACTGTTGTAATGCCAGCTTATATCATTCGCCGTTTGTATTATGCAGTTTATCAAGCGTATCCCTAAACGTTCCCAGAATACTTGTAATCATGCATCCAACACTTTTAAAATGAACATTGTTATTTAAGATATTGACGTGATTTTATTTCGAGGGTCTCGATGGTTTTNCGTGGAAGAGCCGAAATCTCTAACCGTAACGTAAGCCGATTCGACGCCTCAGCTTCATAGAATGTCTCGGGGGAATCGTCCCATCTTTTTAGTTTTTTATTTTCAGTATTTTTTATGTATTCCGGGGGGTGCATCTTTTCCTAAAGTGAAAGTCCTGAGTTCTAACCCTGCTGCTGGGATTTCTCTTTTTTCTTGTTGAATGTTTCTTTTTCTTTTGTTTCCTGGTTTTTTTCTTCTTTCTATTTTTTTTCTCTTCTTTTTTTTTTTCTTTGCTGTTGTTTTTTTTCCTCTATAGATTTTCTCTTTAGTTTCAACTTAAACATATCAAGGACTCGCAAGGAACGCCTGCTGCAAGTGGATGGTTACGGTTCGGAAACTCAACACGATGACATAGTGACGAGAGGCCCCATAAGGCCTTTCGTCTCAAAAATCAAACCCGGTTTTCATATCCTCCTACATGTATAATCTCGGGGCAAAGCTCCGAGAGACCCAGCATAATAAAGCTACCATGGTCTCGTCTAATTTAGTTACCACAGACACCATTCGATTCAGATTTTATTATTTTATATTGGAAGTGCATTAATGATTAATACTAATTTATTCTATTGTTTATTTTGATTTTAGTAATCTTCAACTCGGTCACAGCAAAATTGAAGAAATAGTTCCTGGAGCGTTTGATAATCTCAACAAGCTCTCGATGCTGTGAGTCCTCTTTTAGAAAACGATTTATAGCTGCCTTAGATTAAAAGAATAAGTTAYATATTGAATCCAGTCAATACTGAATAACATCAAAATCGATTAATTAATTGATTGATCCGTTGATTGATTGACTGGCTTGTTGTTTGTCGGTTGTGGGCCGTTATTAGTGTGTGCTGTGGTGATGGTTCAAAGTGTGTGTTTTTTGCTTTTGACTGTTTGCTTTTGTGTTGATCGTGACCTTTTATTGATATATTCAAGGAGCCTGGTATACAATAGGCTGACRGCATTTCCTAGTTTCAAGAAACGTTCACAACTCACCGAGCTGTAAGTACTTATGAATATTATACACTAGCWTCTGACTTCTACACTTCTGACATGAATTCATTTGAGCTGACACTTGATTTCCAAATCAGATATTTAGAAGGAAACGAACGAATCACAAGTTTATCCAGAGAAAATTTACAGAACTTACCGCTACTTAAGGAATTGTAAGAACATTTGATATACTATGACCATGTAACCCTCCCACACTCTCACTGTGCTAGATGTTCATTTGATTAATGGTTACCTGCAGGGACTTAGAGAAGACAGGTATTACAACCTTACGTGATGGAATATTTCAGAGAAACAAAGCACTTTATAAAATGTAAGTTATCCGCAATGTGAGTTATACGTAACGTACGTTATCCACAATTTGAGTTGTACGAAATGTCAGTTATCCGCAATGTAAGTTATACGT